GCCCCGGGGGCATGGCAGGCACCGGGCTGGCAGCCACCAGGCCAGTAGCCAGGTGGCAAGGTGCCTGGGACAGGACAGGTGAGATGAGGAGGTCTGTGTGACCTGGGCAGCACCAGAGGAACGCAGGGATGAGCATGGCCATGTAGAGAGATAGGGGCACAGGGTTTTTTTAAGGGCCTTGTAGCAGCCTGGAAAGCATCAGCTGCTTTTCTTGGGAGTCTGCCTCCTGTGCATGCAGGCTGGGAATTATTACCTGTTTGAAGATTTAACTGCTCCCTGCTTTGCTGATGCCACTACCTGGCCAGGCTGTCACCCATGTGTGCCTGGGCATCCCTGGCAGAGGCAAGCCACAGGAGCCACAGTGTTGCAAGGCAGGGAAGGTTCACCCTGCTTTTTGCTTTAACAGCAGTAACATTTCCTCAGCATCTTCTGGATATCAGCTGCCAATTTTTCTATCTTTTCACAGGAGTTAGAAAAAGAAGTAACCACAGAGGGGCACAGGAGTCCAAGTGGGTGTATTTGCTATACACACCCAGCATGTTAACCAGCCTTGTATTTGCACCTCTTCCTTGCTGGGGCAAATTATCTATCTATCTATCTATCTATCTATCTATCTATCTATCTGTATTTATATATCTTTGGGGCCTTGGAGGTACAAAACAGAGTGTGCACTGTCCCTGCGTTCCCCGACCTGCTTCTCTGCTCACTGCAGAGCCTGGAGCAGGCATGGGGCTGTGGGCACCTGAAAGTTAAGGTGGGTTTCTGCTGCATAGACACAAGCCATCCCCAGGACAGCAGTGTCAGGGGCACTGGATGGCACCAGAGCTGTGGTGTGTCCCCCAGCACCCCCTGGGACCCCACTGAGTCCCCCAGAGGCTCAGCACCTCTCCCTTGGGTCCAAATGGCCCGAAAGTCTGCCCAGAGCAGAAGCCAACCCTCTCCTAACACCTCGCTCCTTCTTGTTGCCTTTTACAGTCCCAAATTCACAGGCTTTTCATGGGGGCCTGAGAATTCCACTCCCCAGGAGGTCTCTGGCTCTTGCCCTGGATGCCACACTCCATCCTTTCAGCCTGACACTCTGTCCGGTTTGGCAGGGACATGCTGCCCCGCTTGAGGTGCCAGGGAGGTGGCAACCACCGCTCCACGTCACTCATGGCAGCGTACAGAGCTGCTCTGGGGCTGGGCCAGGCTGGGTGGGCTGTATGGCCGGTGTGCTGACATCCTCACAGCAGGGCTATATTTGTAACGCTTCTGCAAGAGGCTTCGTCTTCACCCATGGGCCTGCCAAAAACCTTGCATTGAAGAGCTGACTAAGCTTGGCAGGTGTCCACGAAGACACATAGAGCAGCTGTGGTGTCGTAACCCTGCAGGCAGCTGAACACCACACAACCGCTCGCTCCCTGCATCCCTCTTCTTCTGATGGCTGCCGTGTCCGCAGGGCCCAGCTCATTTGGGTCCTGAGGCTTACCCCTCTCCTGTCATATTTTTGCTGGCACATGACAAACAACTGCTGTTTGTGAGCTGAGTATGACTTTGATTGCTTTATTATCATTATTCCTATTGTTATTACAAGTAATTATTGCTATTTTGGTTTGGTTTATTCTAATTATTTAATTATCTTTGTATCAACCCATGAGGTTTTTTTCCACTTTTACTCTTCTGAATCTCTCCCCCACCCCACCGAGGAGGGGAGGAGTGAGCAAATGACTGTGTGGAGTTTAGCTGCTTGCTGAGCTAAACTGTAACAGTGGCACTGCCGAAACACAGTGGTCAAAAAAGGGTAAAATCCCTGGTTGTAAGCCGGGAAGATGGGATGGGATGGGATGGGATGGGATGGGATGGGATGGGAACTTTGACTGTGTACATTTTACTTAGGGTGCCATGCAGTGTGAAGGAAGCACTCTATCAACATCTCACAACTATTGCTGCTGTTACCTTCATCACCCAACCCTTCATGGAGTCCTAGGGCTGGAAAGGCATCTGCTGAGGATGGGTATGAAGGCACTGCAAAGAAGGCAGCTGGATCTGGGGTGCCAACACTACCACTGCCACTGGCAGGCAGGTGAGGAGCAATGGTGGAGGCTGGAATTTTGGTTTAGGATGGGAAACGAGATCAGGGAGCTGTATGGGGCGAGTCAGGAGGGATCCAGACGTCTCCGAGGAAGGGCAGTGATGGCCGGCAGACAGTGGCAAGCCCTCCCCTCTGCAGCAGTACCTCCCTCAGAGGGAGCGCAATAGCAGTTTTTAAGAAAGACAACCACATCTGATGTGATTTTTTCATTCTCTTTTTAATGTGAGAGGCTGGTTTTCCTTGCCCTGAGAGGATGGGTTGCAGCTGGAGTGCACTGTCACAGGTCAGGTGAAGCCACATTCTCGCAGAATGGGGACAAGCTCGGCAGGATCTTTCCTTTTCGAGTGCGTTTGCGCGTGAAGACATTTCTGCCCACCCTGTGGGGAAGCAGAAAGTTTATATGGGACAACCTGCAGACACCACCCACTCAGGAGGGAGCCCAAATGCCCCCCAACTCATCCCAAGCAGCTTCTGGGTGTCCCTGGCCAGGGCAAGCCCCAAGTCAGGAGGGGATGGGTTTACCAGCAGTGGTCCCTTCACCCAGGGGAGTGCTTTTCCTCAGGGTCACTGAGGCTGCCGCCTCTGACATCCCCTCCACTACCTGGTGGCTTTCCAGTCCTCCTGGAGGGACCCGACAGCTTCGCGCAGCAGCCACATGGTGGTCAGTGTCTCCTTCCCGCCCTTGTCCACAAAACACTGCCCCACAAAGGTGGTGGTGACGTCTGGGGGAAGCACACGATGAGGGGATGATGGGGACAGCAGCTGTGGTCCCCATCTGCTTCCCCCCACCCCGAGACCTGCCCTTCTCCCTCAGGTGAGCCGAGATCTGTGGCACCGCATCCCCCATGCCCTAACGGGGTCTGGTCCCATCATGGGGACCTCAGGCTGCCCAGCAGTGATGGATGCAATAACGCTAGGTGACTCTGTGCAAACCCAGACATTGCTCAGTATCCTCAAACCAGGCAGGCACTGCTGCCTCCCCCTGCTTAGCCACACCAAAGCATCCCCCAGCATCTTTCCAGCAGAGGAAAAGCCCTGCTGGGTCCCTGTGTGGCTCCCAGTGCGGCTCCCAGTGTCCCTGTGGTGCCAACTCGGGGTGTCCCAGCACTTACTGGAGAACTTGTCCCAGCGCACAGTGAAGCCAAAGGTGGGCCAACCCCCCTCGCTGGGCTGCTGCTGGGCACCCTTCAGGGGGGAGGCGCAGGCACAGCCACCAGCAAGGGTGACCCGAGTCAGGTAGTTCCCCTGGAAGCCCCCGTCGTCTCCCACCGCCGAAATCTCCATCAGTGAGTCCTGCTCATTCCTCCACAGCCCACTGAGCTGACACTGTAGGGACACAGCCGTGGGCCCTCTGTCCGCACGCATGGCACAGAGGGGGACGCCGTCCCCTCCCACCACCCCGCGGCCAAAGCCACAAGCCCAGCTTTGAGTGTGACTGTGGAGCGTGGCTCCCCCTGTCTTCCCTCCACTTTCGGGAAATGCTCTCCCAGGTGCTGCCAGCTGCAGAGTGGACAACACAGAAAGGACAGCACACTGCAGTCCATGGTGCCCCCAGACACAGACCCCTGGTGAAGGAGTGCCCCATGTGTGGTACCCCCAGACACAGACCCCATGGGAAAGAACGTTCCATGAATGGTACCCCCGGCACAGATCCCATGGGAGAGGATGCTGTGTGCACAGGATCCCCAGGCATAGACTCCATGGGAAGGGATGCCTCATGCATGGTAACCCTGGGCACAGACCCTGCAGGAGGGATGCCCCGTTCGTGATGGTCCTGTGGGACCAAAGCTCTGTGGAGGTGGTGACCAGGTGGCTGGGGGTGACCCAGAGTTTCCCTGCCCATTTCCTGCAGTAAGTGCTTGCAGAGCTTTCCTGCTTGCCACAGCCTAAAATGGCATCTAAGAGAGTACCTCTCGGCTGCCCACGCTGCATCCCAACACCTTTTCTGCCATGTTCCCACCACCACCCATCCCCATACCTTCCTCTCCACAGAAGTAACACATGCTGCCACGGCCAGGGCAAGCACCAGGGCAACACCACTGCTCCTCATGGACACGGGACTGTGAAGTGCTCAGCACGGCTCCCTCCCAGCCCCACGCCCCCATCCCCTTTATAGGGCTGTAACTGGAGCCCCACAGGCACAGCGGGTGCCAGACTGGCAGCTGTGAGGTGGGTGGTGGGGTGGCAGGGTGCCCAAGACACAGGAGCTGAGGAGGTCTGTGTGACCTGGGCAGTGCTGGAGGAATGTGGGGATGAGCACGGCTGTGGGGAGAGGTGGGGTTGCAGGGATGGTTTCCACATCCACCACCCGAAAGGCTCTGCCAAGCCCATTCCTTACTCTGAGATAGAGTCCTTGGATTGGGCACGACCTGGCACCGTCCCACGGCCACCATCCCACTGCTGCAGCAAGCACAGCCTAAACAACTCCACTGTGCTGAAGGGTGGTGTGTCTGCCCAAGGAGTCTGTCCTTGTGGCAGTCCCTTCCTGCGTTAAAAGTTTCTGCTGCTGTTTTTAAGCTGGCTTTCCTCCTGGCTGTGCTAAGCTTTCCCTGGATCTGGGAGCTGTGACTGTCACTGCACTGGAAGCTTTTGGCAAAGGTGCAGAAGGGCTTTTCTGGAAGATATGTAGATATTACAATTTGCTTGTCCTCACAGGAGGGTCTTCCCGTGCACAGACCATATGGAAGGCGGTGCTGCGTGAATGGTGCTGTGAGGCTGGGCAGAGCACAGCTCCATGGCAGAGCCCTGTCTGAGCCCTCCCAAGGGGTCCCTAATAATGTGAGATCATACTGCAGACACACAAGTGGCCAGGGGTGCTCAGACTGCCTGGCTCTTGCACAGAGTTGCGGCACAGCCATCTCCTCTAAGATATCTCCCTAACTGGGTGAATACGTTGCTGTCAGTTCTGCAGGAAGGCAGAGCTGGCACTTGGCTGTGCCCAGGTCAGGAGGGATCTCTCTGGCCTTCAGCCACAGACAACTGGCCCACTGAGTCAGTGGTGGAGCCTGCGGCCCATGAGGGGGTGGGAGGTAGGAGAGGGCACCGGGATGGGGCTTTCCCCGTCAAAGGTTGCTTGTGAGTGTGTTGTGTTTTCGGCAGTTGTTCCTGACGACTTGTTCCTAACGACTTGTTCCTGTTCTTGACCTGACGACTCTTCCCAATCTGGGAAGGGAAATCTGGAAAAGGAAAGTAGACCCTTGGGTTGAAACAGAAACAGATTTAATTAAAAAAAAAAGTCAAAACCCAATTATTAATACCAGTATTAATATAAAGTGCAGAGTGTATATTAATATAAAGTGCAGAGTGTTAGTTAGCCAGTATAGTGGGGGAGTAGATCTCAGGGGTAGGACAGTGGATAAAGACTCTTTTGAGATATTGTCTATTAAAGAAAGAGGAAGATTGTCCCCAGCAAACTCCCCATGTTTATGTGATGGAATAATTTACACTGGCCAGCCTAGAGTCAGCTTGGCGTCAACTGGCCTGGATTTCTTCATCCCTCAGCCTCTGCAGAAACCTATTTATCTCAAGACCAATAAAGACCTTGATCATCACATACCAGTGTAGGCCAAGAAGTAAAACAAGGCATCTTATCACTTTGTTCCTCTAAAATAGAGTGTTGTATGTAGAATCGTAGAATAGTTTGGGTTGGAAGAAACCTTAAAGATCATTCAGTTCCAACCCCGCTGCTTCTTACAGAATTGCAGTCTTCCTCAACAGAAAACTGATTCTATGATTCTACCTCAATAAAACCAGGACAGAATTTCACCCTTTATTCTATACAATTTAGGTTATACCTGTCAGTATTACTTTTCTGTTTCACTCTCCCTCTCACTCTCTCTCTCTATACATATATACAAACAGATCTCCCTCCCTTAGTCAGCAGGCCATCTCTCCAAAGAGTTCCTTGAGCTCAAAACCCATGAGTTCCAGTTGTCGTGACAGTCTTTCATGACAGAAGAGGTGGTATGGAAGTTATTCAGTTGGCAGGTCAGGGCTAGTCTTCCGTGTGGAGTGATGGATGGGTGAAGTCAGATGCATTAGGATGATTTGTTGTGCATCTGGAGCTCACAGTTGGTGTGTCTGATGTGGTCTACGTTTATGGTCCATGGTGTAGGTGTGTAGATAGTGTAGTCTTAATAGTCCATTACATTATCCAACTTTCCCTGCAGCTGGTGCATGGTAAGGGATGTGATATACCCACTCCATATCATACTCTTTAGCCCAATTGTCTATGAGACTGTTTCAGAAATGAGCCCTGTTATTCCCTTGGTTCTTTTTGGAGTGTCGTGTCACTACAACACTTGCTTTTTGAGGCCCAGGATAGTGTTAAGGGCAGTAGTATGGGGAACAACTTAGGTGTCCAGACATCCGGTGTTTGCTTCCATCGTTGTCAGCACATGGTGCTTGCCTTGGTGGAGGTGAGATATAGTCAATTTGCCAGGCCTCCCTGTGCTGATATTTCAGCCACTTTCCTCCGTACCACTGAGGTTTTAACAGCTTGGCTCCTTTAGTTGCGGCACATGTTTAACATTCATGGATGGCCTGTGCAATTATGTCTATGGTCAAATCCACCCCTCGGTCACAAGCCCATCTAATGTTGCTCTTCTTCCTTGATGACCTGAAGTGTCATAGGCTTACCCAGCTAAAAATAATACACCCTTATGTTGACAGTTCAGGTCCATTTGAGACGCTTTAATCTTGGCAGCCTGGTCCACTTGCAGGTTGTTTTGATGTTCCTCAGTGGCACAGCTCTTGGTTACATGGGCATCTACATGATGTACTTTCACAGCAAGCTTCTCTAATCAGGCAGTGATACCTTGCCACATTGTGGCAGCCCTGATTGGCTTCCCTCTGTGCTGGCAGCTGTTTTTCTTCCATTGCTTTAACTGTCCCTACAGGCCACATGCTACCATCCGTGAGTCAGTATAGAGACAAAGCGTTGGCCACTTTTCTCGTTCATCAATGTCTGAAGCCAACGGATGCCTTTCACTTCTGCAAACTGACTTAACTCACCTTCCTCCTCAGTTGCTTCTGCGACTCATTGTGTAGGACTCTACACAGCAGCTTTCACCTTCACTATTTTCCTACAACACAACAAGATCTATCACTAAACAAAGCATATTTTTTCTAATTTTCTAATAATTTATTATATGATGAGGTCTCTTCAGTTTGCATCACCTTTGTCTCTGGTGGCTTTCCAAAATCTTGGCCTTCCGGCCAGTCCATAATTACTTCCAAAATTCCTGGGTGATTGAGGTTCTCTATTTGAGCCTGCTGTGTGATCAGTGTGACCCATTTACTCCACATTGCATCAGACTGTTAAAGACCTTGATCATCACATACCAGTGCTGGCCAAAATGTAAAACAAAGCATCTTAATGCTTTGTGTCTGTGAAATAGAGTGTTGCAGTCCTTACAAATTTGCTGTTTTCCTCAACAGAGAACTAATTCTATGATTCTACCTCAGTAAAACCAGGACAGGGCGGGTGAAATTTCTCTCCCCAGCCTGCCGGGACCTGGGCCATGTCATCAGACAGGCATGGGTTATGGCAGGATATGGGGGGATGAGCCCAGCTAAGCCTGCATCCAGTTCTGTCCCACCTCAGGACCTGCCAGGACAGGAGCCAGAGGTGGGGACTAGGAGGTGCCACCAGCCCTGAAGCATTGGAGATGGGGATGGGGGAGCACTGGGGACAACACAGGAGGGCAGGGAACCATCAAGAGCACCACAAGGAGGTCTAGGGAGCTCTGGGGACACTGTGGAGATAGGGGAGCAGTTGGGACACCTGAAAAGCTCCACTTGATCATGAAGCTGAAGGTTGACTGACTCTTCTGGTTCATGGAGCGCCGGGACCCCTACAGTAGTGATGCCTGGTTCTCATTCGAGATGGCTGTCACAGCTGTATGGTAGGAGCCAGCGAAGTGGCCTTTTCCAGCTGTGGGCTGGGGAGGCAGATCGCAGCCCCAGGAGGGTCTGTGGACCTGACAGAGGAGCTCCTCCATCCTTCCAGAATGACAGAGAGCTCCCAGAGCTGGGCCAAGGAGAGAGAGAGACAGAGCAGGGTGTGCAGACCCAATCGGGGCTGGCAGGAGTGACCAGGCAGACACAGCAGAAGGGACAGGAGCTGTGGGGCTTCATTGCTGCAGGGTGCTCGGGTTTTACCAGACTTTACCTGCGCACACACCCAAACCGAGCAGACACTCAGCCCCTGACTGACCTGACAGCTCCCCAGCTCCCTCTACTGTTTCAGTGGGTTTAGTTGTTTTGTTCAGATGGTACAGCAGAAAAAACCCGAAAACCTCGAGCTGGGTGCCTCCAGTGAGGGACCCCAAACAAAAAATCCCTAGGCACTTACACCTTTACAATGTAAGTTTCCCACTCCTTACACGACAGTTCAGAAGAATAGAAATTTTAGGGCCTGGGATCTTCCCCTTCCTCTCTGAGTCCCTCAGCTCTCTTCAAGAGGGCCATTCTCATCTCCAAGGTTGCAGCTTCTGCTGATGACTGAGTTTCCTTATCTTCAGCTTGAGCCAGCCCTGAGGCCTTCTAAGCAAGGTTATGAATCCTAACAATCCTTAACACAGATGCCTGGGTATACCATCTCCTATCATCCATTGCCCCAAAACTGAGATGCTGAATGCATCTCAGCCTTGCTGGAAGGCCTGATACAGGGACTGGCCTTGCAAACAGCACTGCCAGCACATCTCTGTGGCATTTCTCGCAGCACCGTGGTGCCAGCAGGAGTTTGCTCAAACTGTGGTTGGCATTGCCTTGTTCTGCCCTGGAAACATGTTGACAAGAGGATGATAATGAAGTCTGGTGTGCACAGTAGCGCTGCAGGCTTAGAAGGACAATTTATGGCTGAGCTGGCCATGCTTTGAGGAGGAAGCAGCATCCTGTGGCCCCTCCCCACCACTTTCTTTCCTAATTGTCAGGTTCCTCTAAAGAAGGAAAAAGGCTGCACAGACCAAAGAACACTAGCAAAGGGCTGGCGCAAAGGCATTCTGCTCAGAAGTGCTGTAAGGGAACAGAAAAAGTTGGGAAAATTCC